GTTTCACCCCTTCAGGAGCAAGGGAGAATGAAGAAAACAAGACACAAGGGAAAGATTAGTCCAAAGGACTAATGGACCACAACTACCATGGCCTCCACCAGACTGAGTCTAGTACAACTAGATGGTGCCTGGCTACCACCACTGACTGTTCTAATGGATCACAATAGAGGGTACTGGCCAGAGCTGGAGAAAAATGCAGAACAAAATTCTAATTTATAAAAAAGACCAGACCTACTGGCCTGACAGAGACTGGAGAAACCCCGAGAGTATGGTCCCTGGACACTCTTTTAGCTCAGTAATGATGTCACTCCCGAGGTTCACCCTTCAGCCAAACATTAGACAGCCCCATAAAACAAAATGAGACTAATGGAACACAACAGCCCAGGGACAAGGACTAGAGGACAGGAGGGGACAGGAAAGCTGGTAATACGGAACCCCAGGTTGAGAAGGGAGAGTGTTGGCATGTAGTGAGGTTGTTAACTAATGTGATAAAACAACATGTGTACTGTTTAATGAGAAACTATTTGTTCTGTAAACTTTCATCTAAAGTACAATAAAAATTTAAAAAAAAAACCCTTTGCCATCGAGTGAATTCTGACTCGTAGCAACTCTGTAGGGGCAGAGTAGAACTGCCCCATAGGCTTTCCAAGGCTGTAAATCTTTACGGAAAGCAGATTGCCACATCTTTCTCCTGAGATGCTGCTGGTAGATTTGAACTGCTGACCTTTCAGTTAGCAGCCAAGCTTAACCACTGTGCCACGAGGGCTCCTCTCAGCCTCATGAGTAACAAGGAAATGCAATTGAGATATAATTTTATACCCATTAGGTTGGCAAAAATTCAGGGGTCTGACAAACAATTGGAGATGATGGGAATCAATGGGAACACTTACACAATGCTGCTGGGAGTATTAATTGGCCCAACTATGGAAAACAATTTGACGTTACCTTGTATTGTTTATTATGTAAAGTTGAACATCCACATATGCTGTGTCCAGCGTTGCCACACAGAGAAACTCTTACCGGTATGCACCAGGAGACAGGTATGAGAATGGTCATAGCAGCACTGTTCATAATATCAAAACACTTTTCAGCCCTGGTTTCCATCGATGGGAGAGAATGGATAAGCCATGGTCTGTTCACATACTGCTTTATTATACAGCAGTGAAAATGAATGAAGTACAGCTCCCCACAAGGTTATGGATGAAGCTTAGAAACGTGATGTTAAGTGAGAAAAGCAAGTCCCGGAAGAATGTAAATATTATGATGCCATTTATATAAAGCTCAAGCCCAGAAAAACTAAACAATATATATCTTTAGAGATAGGAGGTAAAAAGCAAGGAAATGACAAGCAGAAAATCCAGGATAGTGGTTACTGGCAGGGTGAGTGCTGGGGAAGGAGCATCGGGGAGGGACTCCAAAGGTGGATGCAAGTGGTAATATTCTAGTTCATAGTTCTCATATGTGTTCACTTTATTATGCTTCATAACTTGCATGTATGTGATATATATGTCACACACACCTTAGATTAAAATTTTTTTTAAAAAAAGAATACTGTTTAGGAGTTTCTGTATTCTCATCCAGGATGCTTTATTTCCTGTAGTAGATACTAATCACTTAGGTTTCCTTCAAACTCATAAAAGCCAACTCTTTATTGCCAATTTTCTATTTGCAATCCCACCAGTTAAACAGGCTTCATAACAGCCACCTGCATCTAGGTGTTTTCAGTTTATGCTCCAAATGACCCTCCTCTTCTCTGAGATCCAACCCCCCTCACCACCAGGGGGTTTTATACTGGTTAGAGCAAGACCTCTGAAGTTCCTTGCAGCTTAGCTTCTGCATGCCCACTTTGTCCAGGGAACCCCTCCTTCATCTTGCCTGAAGCCAGACACTTGGCGCCTTTGGTAGCAGGGACTGAGACACACGGTTCATAAATATCCATCCTAGCCCAGTTGAATTTGTTACTGAGCCCGTTCGTTACAGTTTTGATTTCAATGCTGAACGAACATTCCTTATTCTCCCGACTTGTCTTCTGTTCTTTCAGAAGGCTTGTCCATCCAGCCAAGACATTGTCCAGAGTGGCTTGGTCTCACATTCCTCCAGCAAGCCTGGCATTAGCGTTATTTGGACTTCCATCTTTGATTCTGTAGTCCTCCCAGACAATAAACCAGCTTGCTTGATTAGGTTCTCTTTCCTTGACTCGAAGTGGAGCATTTGGAAGCAATTAACAGAACTCAAGAGTGCCTTAAATGTGTTTCCAATGAGAGGATTTGCTTTCATTAAAAAAAAAAAAAAAACCCTGTTGCCAACAAGTCGATTCCGACTCACAGCAACCCTACAGGGCAGAGTAGAACTGCCCCATAGGGTTTCCAAGGAGCGGGCTGCTGGATCCAAACTGCTGACCTTTTGGTTAGCAGCCATAGCTCTTAACCACTGTGTCACCAGGGCTCTCCCATAAAGATTACAGCCTAGATAACTCTATGGGCAGTTCTACTCTGTCACATGGGGTCACTATGAGTTGAAAATTGACTCAATGGCACCTAACAACAAGTATAACATCTACAATGAAAGAACATGTGAAAGTACTGTGAAATTCATTCATCAAGGTTTTCTCAAAGACCTGCTATGAACAAGGTACTAAGGAATAGAGTAAAATTTTAAAGGTGAGATTAAAAATCATTGTATTTCTTGAATATGTTCAGAGTTAGAAACCCAAGAGCAACAAGCGTATTTAAGAGCATTTGGCTAAAAGGTGATGTAAGAAGTAACCAGAAATCTCCTGTGTTAAATACTCAACAAGAATTTAACAAGGAACCTTAAGAATACGGAGTAGATAAACAAAGAACAGGTTAAAATTTAGGAAAACAGTAACAAAGGATTTAAGGGATGACAAACACAAGTCCTCTGTAGGTGCTGGGAGGAACCACGAAATACAGACAACTAAATTATACAATTCCTTAGACTACCATGTAGATGCCATATGAGTGGAAACCATTTCATCACCAAGGTCATTTTTATTAAAAAAAAAAAAAAAAAAAAAAGTGGGGTGGGGGAATGTACAGAAAGAGCCGGCCTTCTTGAGGGGGTGGACTGAAGGGGAAACAGGCTTCATGAGGCCAAACATGAGCACCCTCATGTGGTCCGCTAGTTCACTAGTTTGCCAAGTCATCTTTATGTAAGCCCCTGGCATGTAGCCCCTATTGTCCACCACCGCTGTAAAACCTCTGCCCTCCTTCTATGGATGTGGAGATCTGCTTGGTCTTGCAGCCGCCCAGGACTCACCTTGTATGTAAGTCTCCCTAATAAACTCCTTCGCTGCCAAAAAAAAAAAAAAAAAGTACAGAAAGAACAAAGAATTTTAATAAAATCAACAGGTTTACATTTGTATACTTTGTGTACTTGGGACCCAATCAAGAGCAAAGAATAAGGTTGCAAGGACAAAGGTTTCCATAGGAGAGCAAGCACGAAGCAAAGGCTATCCTAATTGTATAACAGGCATCAATTTAACAGTGCAGCACTGTGACCACCTGTGCCTCCCTCCAATCTTGAAGTCAGCAAGCATATTTTATAAAGCTGTCAGCATGAGCTTTTCAGCAAAGTTCAGACCCAATGCTCTACAGCCTACATGACACTTTTACATTAATACTTGATAGGCATCAGCAGATAAACAGTTCATAAAATTAAATACTATTGCCAAGAGAACATTAATGTAAACTGAGTTTAGTTCATGCTGTTTAACTAGAATGGTTACACTGAACCTAATGAGGAGAAAAGGGGCTGAGTGACGGTTCTAACTGCTTTATTCAGTGGCACAGTCACAAAACAGCAGGTCTGTTAGAAAGAACCATATATTTCTTTTAAAAATATTTGTGAAACTTAGAGAACAGTTATAGAAAGAGTGATTTTTAACATACAATTCTGCACATTGTTCTGCTGTGGTAAACAGTGCAGTGGAGATGGAAAACTGTCCTCCTTTAGTTCTCATTATTCTAGAAGACGATAAACATTTCAAAACATTGATCGATGTTCAGAGAAAAATGAGAATGGTGTCCCCAAGTTAGGAATAAGTAATCACAAGGCTTTTTCAAGCTTTTACCCATTTTGTGTGTAGAGAAACAGTGCTTTTAAAAGTGCAATGTTGCATAAAAAGGTAACTTATTCTTTGAGTTACCAAATCAAATTCAGAAGTTGTAATGAACTCAAATTCACAAGTTGTAACGATAACAGATGCGATACTATTACATGATCACTCTGTAACAGAGTCACCCATGGTGTAAAACCAGGCTTCAAATTCCTACCAATTTACACAGCACACAGTTGAACTACAAGGAGAATTTCGTACTTATTTATTCTTTAGGTAATGGAGACAGAGGAAAGAATGGTGTCAATTCCCCCAAACAATGCATTGATGCTTTGCTTCTTGGCCCACTTCAGAGTTACAAAAGGAAAACAAAATACCATTATTTTTTAAGGAAGAGGAATAAGCTCTTCATTTAAGACTTAAGCTGAAGAGAGGGTGTTTTCCGGGGTCACCTCTTGTCACACATACAAGCTAATGCTTCTTTTCTAAGCAATTCAGTCGGGGTCATAGCTTCTTTATTGTTAGTTCCTAATAGAATCAATATTCACAGTAAATTCAAAAGAAGGCAGTGAAAGAACTATAGCTTCGGTTTATCACCAATGTCTAGGGGAACACGAAATGAACTCTCAGTCTGTCACGAATGAGAGGCGTCTGTCATCAGTAAACGTCAGGGCAGGCATGCAGAGCACTGTGAGGTCAGGCAGCTTAACTCTAGCTCCTTGTAAGGGTGCGCAGAAGCGCCATCGGGAAAGAGCTTCTCCGTCACCTGTGGAAAGGTAGCTTTCACCACCGCCTGCCCTGCTGAGTGTGTGAGGTTACAACGGGCCTCTCGGGACAACAAAGCTTCATTTGTGCTCATCAATATTTCCCTTTTAGTTTCCCAGGTACTGAACAGGAGGTACATTTTAATGAGAAAAAATATCTCTAACGAATACGGCAGATGAACTTCTTAAGAGAAAACATACAGATACGATTTAAGTTCGAATAAAATTTTTTAGTCAAATTGTGTTGATCATGGGGTTTCAAATAGGCAGATGCGATGACACACAGCTGGGCCTTGGCCACTGCTGTCATCTCCAAATGGTGAAAGCAGCTTCTCTCTGGGAGGCTTTATCTGCTTCGGATAGGTCTTCACTCGCTATGCAGCCAGAAGCATACAAATTTACCCAAAAGTGAGTGCTTGGGTCAAAAAGGCAGAATCTTTTTGGGGTTGAGGGATGGATGTGAAGTAAGAAAGAACAAAAATGTTTCCCTAAAGTCAGCCATCTCTAAGGACAAACGAAGAGACCACTATGCAATCCTGGAGAGTGACAGGGACTCCCCAGGTGGCTGTGCACGTGGAGAGGGCGTGGACACAGGAAGGAAAGGGGGGTCCAGCAAAACCTGCCCCACCGCAGGGCTCTGCGCCCTGGCCAGTCCCCGGCGAGAGAGGCTTCATCTCCGTGCCACGCAGACACAAAATGTTTTCAGTGCAAATGCGTGTCTCAAGATATGGGGGCTCAGGGGGAGCGGAGAATCCAATATGCCTGACAGCACAGCAAAGGCTCTTTTTTTTCCAAAAGAGACTTCTTTTTTTAATTACTATGTACCTGGACAAGTTAACTATTGAACGTCTCTATGTTGGGTATTTGAAGGTATTTCCATTTACATTCATATAAAGTGGTCAGCAGTTAAGAGTCCTCATTTCACATTGGCTGGGGTCTCCCAGCACCCAGGATGTAACCCCTTCCTCTGGGCTGCTCTCTGCGCTCTCCTACCAGCAGGCTTGGTAAAGAGCTAGGAGTCCACCCGGGCATCCTCAGGGGGGTTTTTTCAAGTCCGGTTGCCAGGGCTCGGTGAGTTCTGGTTCGTATGTCTGTTCGCAGCACAGTGGGTGTGGACAAGCCCGCCATTCGGATATTTAACAAACACAGGCTTACAAAAGGGGTTTTGGCACACCTGGCAAAGCTTTTTGTCTGAGAGCTGAACTGAGCTTCCTTTTAACTTCATCTGCAAAAGACCAAGAATTCTGTCACACATAGTTATAACTTAGGTAACTATTTTCCAGATTTTCAGTTGACACTCCCTACCCTATGGATTACTGTTACTGTTGAGGACTGCTTTAATACCAACTTCTTGAAACAGACTAAAATAGGCATTTTGAGGTGAAAATAAACAAAACCATCCTTAGTAACTAACCTGAACCTGTTGCCAGCCTGTTGATTCTGACTCATAGCAACCCTACCGGACAGAGTAGAATGGCCCCATGGGGTTTCCAAGGCCACAATTTTTCCAGAAGCAGAATGCCACATCTTTCGCCCGTGAAGTGGACGGTGGGTTCGAAGTGCCAACCTTTCAGTTTGCAGCTGAGCACTTAACCCCTGCGCCACCAGGGCTCCACTCCTTAGTAACCAGAAGAATAAAAAAGCTACAAAACTGCTTTTTTATTTTACAGAAGTAATTGCTACTTGCCTGATAAGTCATATACTGCTTAAATTTCTATCCAAGCCCCTCTTCTCAATCCTTTGCTGAGCTCTGTTATTTTTAAGCAAGTCCTATAAAAAAATCACGTAATGTTAGAGCTGAATGGGATTATGTAAATAAACTAATTCCCTCGCCCTGTTATTTGCAAACAAAAGGAGTAAGGCACAGGTGACAGACTCAAAGTCACATGGTGAATTAGTGGTCCAGCCCTGACCGCTCCTAGGAAGCATAATTTCATTTCTTTAGAGGTAACTTACATGATGAGATGTTAACTCCATCAGTCCCTGTCTGAAAAACGGGACTTCAGTTTTAGTAGTTAAAAAGTCCCAATGTACAAGTTACTTGTGTAAACCCAGGCAAGTCAGTCTATTTGTAGGATTGAGTAGTAACTTTGAATTCATCATGCGTTCATTAGTTTCATCAGTCATTCAACAAACATTTATTAAATGCCTTCCATATGCCAGACTTGGCCCTAAGGATACTGAGTTGAATAAATGAAGTTCCCTGTGTTGAAGGAATCCAAAGCCTAGTATAGAGGGAGACAAATACGAATGCATGCAACAAATACTGGTAGGCAAAAGAGGGGATTAACTCTGCATAAGTACGAGAAGGTTTCACAAAGAAAAAAATACTTACGTTGGGTTTTGAGTAGGTATTCACCAGGCACAAAAGGAAAAGGTAAGACTGTTTTAGGCAGAGGGCACAGTGCGTGCAGAGGGAACAGTGCAGGCAGAGGGAACAGTGCACGCAGAGGGCACAGTGCGTGCAGAAGGAACAGTGCGTGCAGAGGGAACAGTGCGTGCAGAGGGAACAGTGTGTACAGAGGTGATGAGGTATGAAATAGCATGTCACATCTGGGAGGTTCCATGTGGCTAAAGCAAGGTTGTGCGTTGCCCCGCAGTAAGAGATGGCGAGGGATGGGCTAGGATCAGTCTAAGGAGTTTAGACTGCATATTCTAGGCAATGAGGAGTTAAATATGCTCTGAAGTGGGAGAGTAATATGATCAGATTCCAGCTTTGGCTTTGGAAAGCCTGCTCCGCTAGTCATGCGGAGTATAGATCTCACTAAAAAGAAGATTCCAGAGGGAAAGCGCAGCTTAGAGACAAGAATGTAGAGCTCTGAATGTGTCAGGAATTGACATCTGGGCTCCTCCATTTACTAACTGTGTGACTTCTCTGTGCCTCAGTTTCCTCTTCTATGAAATGGAGATAATAACAATAGATACCACATAAAATTATTGTGATAATGAAATTAAACCATGCATGTAAAGTGCCTAGAATAGTGGCTGGCACATACTATGTATTCAGTATATATTAGTTATTATTATATTATCCTTCCCTCGAAGGAGCGCCAGTGGAGCAATGGTTAAGCGCTTGGCTGCTAACCAGAAGGTTGGTGGTTCAAACCTACCAGCTGCTCTGGGGGAGAAAAGACCCGGAAGTCGACTTCCATAAAGATTACAGCCCAGAGAACCCTATGGGGCAGTTCTACTCTGTCCTACAGAGTCACTATGAGTAGGAATCAACTCAATGGCACACAACAACCACCACCTTCCCTTAGCCTTTCTCACACCCATCTCTTGATCATCAGTGTCCCTTCAGGAAGAAAACGTACACCTGCCAGCCCAGCTTTTGACTCTACCTCACATATACCTCAGGTTCTAAAGGAGTAGAATCATATATTTGAATTATTAAACTTATAGAGAAAAAAATTGACAGCGTGTATTTTTCCATAACTAAAATCAACCTTCAATAAAATGTCAACTGGCCAAGAAGCTAGCTTGTCCAAAAGGACCACGCACTCACCTTACTGTATTTGTAGATTAAGTTTTCGGATTTGGCCAAGCCTAGGGCCACTTGAGTCATCCTCTTGGTGTGGATACTGTGCCTCATGGCTCCCGTCAGGAATGGGCAGAGGAGCTGGACTGACCAGGTGTCGGGCAGCAGCTGCAAAACTTCCGCTGCGTCAAATTCTGTGGCGTGGTGATTCAGGAGGTCCACAGCGGGCACGACGAGCTCACAGTCTGAGGGGTCCCCGCGGAGGTAAATGGCAAGCAGCGTGTGGAAGAGCCGCTGCCGATAGGGGTCGCCCCTGCCCTCAGAGCTCCACAGGCAGTAGTCCTCCGCAGCCGCGAAGTCCTTCAGCTCATGGACCAGAATGCACAGGGCCTTCTCGTGCTCCTCCAGCTTCCCGTGGAGGATGGCACTCTCCATGTGAAGACCGGTGCCTTGGATTTTATCTGTTAAACAGAACTTGGAATTTAGAAATAGGCAGGGCCTGAACACAGGAGAATCAATTCACATGCCAGTCCAACGCAGCTGGCCTTCCTGTGGCTTTTAGCTTTAGAAAAGGCAAAGCAAATTTGGTTACCTAGATGTTGCTGAATACTGCCACCTAGATGACTAAGACAAGACTGTCTTGGGTTTTCGTGCTTTGAATCTGGGCATTAGTAAACCAGAATATAGACTCTCGTTACAAGTAGGGCAGCTCTCATGATAAATATTTTCTCCAATTTCTACAGAATGAGAAGAACAAAAAGATCCACCCTCAGAAGGTCCCAGTGAAACTCCAAGTATCACAGCTCCAGGCCTCCAGTCAATCCATCATTATTATTATTTCCCCAAAACGGTATCTTTTGCCTAGAGGAAAGGGGCAATGGCTCCATTTAAATCCGGACAAATACCACCTCCCTCCAAAAAGTGTGCTGAAGCCCTTTATTCCTATTCAAAACACATTTCACTGAAGGGAACACGGGTTCATATTTTTAAAAATCCCTATCTATGTTATCCTAAGGGGTCTATTTCTCCTGTAATTTAAGCTTCCAGGTCATAAGGAAAATGACATAACCCAAAGGAAGCATCCGTTCTGACAAAGGCCCTGCCCGCAGCTGGCTGTGTCTTGCTGTGAAGTCACTCTGCTTCCCACCCCGTCTCTACAACAGGAATGTGACATAAGAGTTCTTCCTACTGCGAAGGGCTATTCTGACGACAACTCCTATTTCAGGGGCCGAGGTTAATACTCAAATTACAGGCATTCTGCATTTGAGCCTGGCCACACCGAAGCATCCCAGCGGCCCCTCAGTCCTGATGCACATCCCCAGTCTTGTAGCAAAGGGGTCCACAACATGCTACGTGCAGCACTAGGCACAGAAGCTGCAATACGCATCGGAGTCATTCTCACGGTGAGATGCCGATCAGTAATTACTGCGTGGCTGCTGTATTTAAGGCACGGGGAGGAGTCCAAAGATGGTTAAGAAAAGACAATTATGTAATTTGCACTTACACAGTGACTTACATCTTTCACATCTATCATCTCACTTACATTTGATTCTCAGAGCCACCCCGACTGGAGAGGCTAGGCGGGAACCATTATTACAACTCCCCCGTCTGATATACTCCCAGGTCCCCTAACTAGCAAGCGATGGGATGTTTTCTTTAGTTTCTAGTGCTCTTCCCACAGTGCCTGGGAGGGCGCCCCCATTTCCTACAAGCCCCAGTCTTATCCTTTACAACTGTTCAGACAGTAACTCCCCTAGGAGGCTGTCCCTGCTCCATTCACCCCAAGGCACGGTTCACTGCTCCCTCGGCCCAGTGCAGAACTTCTGCCAGCCCTTATCTGCACTCCCACCGAACTAGAAGACTCCTGAAGATAGGAACCAAATCTCACTCATCTTTATATCCACAATGCACACTGTCCGACACACTACACATGCTCAAAAAGGTTGGCTGAATGAAAACACTGATCAACAAATTCATGACTAGCATTAGAGTTTTATAAAAGGTTTTGTAAACTGTAAACCATATTTAAAAAAAAAAAAAAAAAAAAACCATTGCTATCGAGTAGATTCCAACCCACAGCGACCCTACAGGACAGAGCAGAACTGCCCCATAGCGTTTCCAAGGAGCGGCTGGTGGATTGAAACTACCAACCTTTTGGTTAGCAGCCGAGCTCTTAACTACTGCGCCACCAGGGCTCCATAAACCACAGAGTATAACATAAACCAGGGGCGATATTTCACAACCGGTAGAGCATGGGCACCAACTGATCAGAATGGAAACTGGCTGTGAGCAAACAGTGTGGCTGCATAGAGTATCACAGGTGAATGTCAGCTCTGGTGGAAATGCTGTTCATGTGAAATACTCAAAACCCAAGTTCGTGTCCTGGCTGTACTGCTGGGTGACCTGGGCTATGTGGGTACGTTCTCTAAGCTTCAGTTTACTCTCCTGTGAAAATGGGGATAATAATAGGACTTACTTCATATGGTTTTTGTGGAAATGAAGTATAATACATGCTAAGCATTTTGAACTATACCTGGCATATAGTTAGCAATCAAAACAACAGTGATAAATGGTGTTAAAGAAAAACATGCTACCAATCCCAGTAAGTGCACGTCCAGAAATTCTATGCTTTCAAATACAGCAAAGACCAGTTAATTCTACCCGTTGCAAATAAATGTGATGCTTTGTGGCACTATACACAATATAGAAATTGCAGTGTCTGCACCCCTGAAGAAATGAAAACCAGAACTCCCTCCGAGATATCTGCACTGCCTTCCTCAGCTTATGGCTCTAGACGCTTCAGGCCTTGAGCAGCCCAGGAGCAGGCAGCTGAGGGGCAGGGCCAACTGGCAAAGCCATTCAACAAATACTGGAGTTCTCCAAAGAAACTATGACACCAGTCCTTCCAAACTGCATAAAGAAGTTACTGCCACTGAACTGTACGCGGGAAGATCGCTGAAATGGCAACGTTTTGTTACCTACATATTTACCATAATATTAAAAAAAAAATTAAAATTAAAAAAAATAGATAAAGAAGTTTAAAGGAAGGTATGCCCAATAAATACTCCAAAAACTTCCAACATCTGCCAAGACAGCTTTTATGTCATCAGTTTAAATGGTCCAATCCATTTCTAGAGGGTGGAAACATGAGGAGCTTCACCCACCCCCACATGAAGGCCGACTGTGTGTCCAAAGGGGTTCAAGGAACCATGTGCCAGTGTTTCCCTCTGCTCCCCCTTCTTTGACCTAAATTTATAAACGGAGAGGATACGGAAATGACCCTCACCTATGAGAAAGTGGACTCTGTATAAGTCGGATTTCTGGAGTAGACTTCGTAGTTTTGCTTGCATCTCAGTCACTTCTGCACCCTTGCCGTTGGCGCTGGGTCTCTGCTGCAGCACCTCTTCCAGGTACAGGAGAGCTAGGTGAGTGTGATACTCTTCCTTCTGCAGAAAACAGGGGAATCCAAGCAGACAAACAATGTTCACAAGCGTGCAGGCCTGGGGATCTTCCCAGTCAGCCAGTGCTCAGGGAGGCTGGAATGGTGCTGAGGTGCGATGGAGCCAGAATACCGAGGACAATTAACACCACACGCTTCCTGCATCAAAACCCTCTCAGAAACCACAAATGCAGAGAAGATGAATTTAAAATCTTTGGGGAAAATACAAAGGGGTTTTTAAAATGAGGATTCTCATTTTGAGAAGCAGAGGCCACAGGATTTAAGAATTCTACAAAAAGATGCAGCTTCTCTCATTTCCTTTAAGGGTAACAGCAAAGAAAGAAGGAAAAGAGAAGAAAAAAATAAGCTGAGTGGAGATGAGATGGGGGGTCAAAAGAAAGCTACCTATTGCCCCGGGACTCTTTCACCAAGCCTCAAGGTCCTCCCTCAGGCCATCAACAAGTACAGACGGAGCCACCGTGGAACAGAAACCACTAAATGAGAGTCATACGCCCAAAGGTTTACAGTCTAACTCCGTCTCTTAAAGGAGTACTGAGACATCACAACCTACGCTGTGGTCTGAGTTCCTGAGGTGCCCACCTGCAGTCTTCTGTCTATAACCAGATGTTCCAGATATCTGACAAGGGCTTTCGGGTATTTTTTAAGGCAACTGATAACGTCCTCTGGATTAAAACTATTCTTCTGCTGTTCGTCCAAAGGTCTCTTGGTGAAAACTTGAACTCCAACCTGAAATAAGAGTAACAGTTTAGTTGATAAGCTCTGCAAAGTCACTATCTTCATCTTTATTTTGGTCACTGCACATTCATGCTTTGGGTAAAATGGTCACTAAAGACACCACGATACCGAAAAACAGTCATGTACGAAACATTGACAAAGACCAGAGAGCAGAGATAGAACGCAAAACCAAACCAAATCCACTACCATCCAGTCGATTCTGACTCATAGCAACCCCACAGGACAGAGAAGAACTGCCTCATAGTTTCCAAGGCTGTACATCTTTATCAAAGCAGACTGCCATGTCTTTCTTCAGCAGAGCCACTAGTAGGTTTGTACTGCCTACCTTTTGGTTAGCAGCCGAAGGTGTTAACTTCTGGGCCACCAGGGCTCCTTAGAAATAGGAAAACACACTGCCTCTGAGTCAATTCCGACTCATAGTGACCCTACAGGACAGAGTAGAACTGGTCCATAAGGTTTCCAGGGCTATAAATCTTTAATGAAGCAGACTGCCACGTCTTTCTCCTGAGGAGCCACTGGTGGGTTCAAACTGCAGACCTTTCAGTTAGTAGCAGAGCGCTTTAACCAATGTGCCACGAGGGCTCCTTAGAGATAGGAAAACCCATTGCCATCGAGTTGATTCTGACTCATAGCAACCCTACAAAACAGAGCAGAACTGCCCCACGGGTTTCCAAGGAGTGGCTGGTGGATTCGAACTGCCGACCTTTTGGTTAGCAGCCACGCTCTTAACCACTGTGCCACCAGGGCTCCAAAGGCAGCCTAAATTCTAAAACCCTCCTCATAAACCCTGCTGGAATTTCTATTTAAAAGGTCAGATACTAAAGAGTGAAGCACTTATTGATATCAAGTTTTGAGAACAAGGAGTAACAACTTTTTAATATAAAGACCATCCAAAAACAAGGACGGTTACCTGCTGAAAAGATGTGAAAGAATATTTAAAAATACTGAAAATTCAGTGCAGTGACCTCCCAGTTCTCTGCACACTGATATCTACCGCGCGGATATGACAGCGACGCCTGGTCTAGGATTGGTGCCTCCAGTCACTGAACAAGGTGCCAGGCTGCCTTCCTGTACTTGTCAGCAGGGACATATCGAGGCCATTCCAGTCTTCAAGGGAATTCTAAATAGGGAAGCAGAGAAGTCAATCCTGCTGCACTTCTCTTGAGCACTAACGTGGGTGCACTCTTTTTCTCTCTGTGTCTGCCTGTCTCTCTCTCACACACACAGTTCAAAACGAGAAATACAGCACAGCCGTTACGAGTATGAATTTTGGGTTCCATCAGCCTGGATTTGTGTCTCAGCTTTAACAACCATGTGACCTTGGGAAAATTTCTTAACCTCTCTGAACCTCAGTTTTCTCATCTGTAAATAATGGCCACCTGTGGGGTTATGTCGTTGTTGTGAGTTGTTGTCGAGCCAATTCTGACTCCTGACGACCCCATGCTGCACAGTAGAACTGCTCCTCAGGGTTTTCAAGACTGTGACCTTTTGGAAGCAGATCGCCAGGCCTGTCTTCCAAGGCGGCTCTGGATGGGTTCAAACCCCCAACCTTTTGGCAGGTAGTTAAGCACTTAACTGCCTGTGCCACCAGGGATCCCCACTGAGTTACAGTGATGTTTAAAAGAGATAATATATGTAAAGTGCCAGGCACTATCTGGCATGAAGAATTCAGAAATGTTAGCTGTCATCGCAGACTGGCATTGGGAAGAGTCTAAACCTTTGGTGTCTATTAGATCCATGTTGCATGTGTGTGTATGAGCATTGGGGTGTGTTCTGCATGTGTGTGCCCAGGGGCAAAGTAAAGATGGAGAGAGAAATACACAAAGCACAGGGGCTCTGGCTCCCACCTCCCTGTTAGGAGACCATCATTGAGAACATGCTCCATTTCCGGTTTCAGAAAGGCAGATGCAATACCGAGAAACTCCACATTCAAGGTCCAGCATCAGGAAGCTAATTTTGCCTCTCTCGGGTGAGCCAAGGAAACGTACATCTTTTGTCTTAGTCATCTAGTGCTGCTATTTAACAGAAATACCACAAGTGGATGGCTTCAACAAAGAGAAATCCATTCTCTCACAGTCCAGTAGGCCACAAGTCCAAATTCAGGGCATTGGCTCCAGAAGGCTTTCTCTGTCAGCTCTGTGGCTCAAGACACTATCTAATCTTGTAGACCTCATCAGCGTAACTGCCACTAATCCATCTTATTACATCATAGTGACAGAGTTTACAACACAAAAGGAAATCACATCAGATTACAAAATGGTACACAATCATACAACAACCAGGAATCATGACCCAGCCAAACTGACAGATATTTTGGGGAGACACAATTCAATCCATGCCACCTTTTTAATGGTGAGAACTGAAATTTTATCTTTTTTCCAGTCATCTTTGGGGCTTAACTAAGGATTCTGTCCCGCTGGCCTCAGCATGCTGCTTCCCCTACAGCCTCCAACCAATAGGTACTCTTCTATGGTCATTTCCCAACTCCCCAAGAGGAAGTGAGTCCTGCCCGCACGTCCCACCTTCCTCCAGGCCCACAACATCCAGTTAAGGGGTGGCAAGAGCAGAAACGGGGGCGACGGCATGCCTGGTGTTGTGGCTTTCTCCTTCCAAGGACCAAGCCCTGCTGGGCAACCATCTTATCCTGCTCCAGTCCACACAAGACAAAGGGCCAAACTTCACTTAGCAGTGCTTTCAAAAACACATGTTATTAAGAAGATGCTAAGAAAGTGACCTGGTTATACTTTTCTATAAAAGCAGCCCAGAAAGAACATTCTGAAAAGTATGTCTCAGAAGAAGCACAGAAGTACAGGACTTCCCTAAGAGCTGGAGTTCAGATGGATCAAGGGAAGGTACTAAGTGAGGAACACAGCCGTTTGAGGTGATGGGAATAGAGGCAATGGTGGCACGACACTGTGAATGTAATTAGTATCACTGAACTGTACACTTAAAAATGGTTAAAATAGCAAATTTTATGTGAACCACAATTAAAAAAATGTTCACGTGACAAATTTTATGTTATCTATATTTTACCATGGAGCCCTGGAGGAGCAGTGGTTAAGAGCTCGGCTGCTATCCAAAGGGTCGGCAGTTTGATTCCACCGGCTGCTCCTTGGAAACCCTACGGGGCAGTTCTACTCTGTCCCGTAAGGTCGCTATGAGTTGGCGTCGACTCAACAACAACAGGTATATTTTACCACAATAAAATTTTTAAATTTTTAAAAACTAATAAAAAAAATTTTAAAAAGAGAAAGGAAGTAGAGGGAAAGGATGAAATGTAGCTTTTTCTCCCCCACCTAAAATCAAGTTTTTTATTGTTTGTTTTGACCAGGCCAAAAACCAATGCACTTATGAAGCACACACCTCCTCACTTTTCTGCAACACCCAGTCAGCGTACTTCCACACGAGTTCGTGGTCTAAGCAGTAGGTAAGAAAATCAACGACATACTCATACAGGTCCGAGCGAGTCGAGTCACAGATATCTCCATTCACGATGTTCACCCATAACTGGAGAGGAATTAAAAAATAAAAAGAAATGGAAGTTACACACCTTTTAGAACTACCTTAGAGAAGGGCATTTAGGTTCACTGGCTCGGCCTTTTGATATTTAAAAGTAGTAGGAAAATGTTAACCGCTTAAATGAATTAATTTTTTCCAAGGAAATAGATGTAGAAGATATGGTTCAGGAAATTGAAAAAACTAAAGCACCAAGTGCTTTTCTTCCTTCTTATGATATCACAGTAACAGAAACAGCAAATAAAATGTATGGGGAGAGGTGAGTGTACTAGAAATACTGTTCATGAGATAAACAAAACAATCGCTGACGATGTCTTGACACAGAGAGAAGCAATTCAGCTACAACATCAGCTACGCTCTATTTCCATCATCTCCATCACAGGAATTCTTGATTTTGAAGTCCTTTTCAGACTCTGGGATGGTGAAATGTTGTGGTTTTGAAGAAATCTCAGTGATTCTGTCACCCAGTGTTCCGACTGCCTTTTGCACAGGGGGCTCAGGCAATCAACTTTACTTTAGTCTCCAATGATAAAGCCTTTTGCTATTTCATCCAGAAACTTCCCTGCCGTGTTAACGATGACTGATTTTCAGGACCCCAAAATGATGCACGACCACGTGGCGGGAGAAAAGTTGAAGGCCGCACGAGAACGCACTGCATAACCCAGGTGGTGTCCCTCACTCACCTGTCCACCTCACGGCACTTCAGAGCAACACCGCCAGTGGGAAGCTCAAGACAGAGGGCAGGCAGACAGTTAAAAGTCTGTAATTCTGGTATCAGCATATGCACATGTTTTAAGATATTAGTTTCTTCAACACTGAGTTGCCCAAATCAAATCACTTAATCACACATACATTTGAGATGTGTAGATTTTTTATGGTAGGATTCTGCCTTATACGCAAATGTATCCCACATCATTTTAAGTTTGCAAATCTCTATATAGCTCTGCTAATGTTACTATTACGCTTATATCAGGCTGTAATTCTTAGGACACCATATTTTAAAAAGCAAAAATGTTTATCTCTGACACCCAAATCTACTCTTAGCCATTTCTTTACTGTACTCTGCAATCATGCTACCATGCTAGTTTCCTAAAGCAACTAAAGACTAAATATACGTGTGGCATCGCCAAAGTCACAAAATAGACTTCAGCTTGGTGAGTATGGCTGATCTTGGCCTCTCATAAAGTGAAAAAAGCACATCAGGAAAATACTAAACAACGCAGTACAAACAGGTAACAAATAACAGGAGGAGAGAGAGTCTCCTGAGAGCACAAGATGAAGTTTTTCCACATTGGCAGTAAGACAGACGATGCAAGAGAAGAGACAGTGCTGCCCGATCTGTGCCATATTTGATTCAGGCACAGAGTCCCTGCCAGGAACGCCTGGAACACTGGTTCAAATCCTGGCTCTACCATTGACAGTGGCAAGACCTGGGGCAAGTGACCTGCCTTCCTCAGCTTCAATTCTGTCATAGATAATGCCAGTAGCTATTGTCATTAACAGTGGAAATTCTAAACTAAACTGCAATTCACAGCCATAATCGTCTAACAAGGCAGTGATACCGTACACCTTGTAGCCCAGTAAGAAATCATATTTTTATCTTTTTGATTTTCATGTACTCAATCTTGATGATGTTCTTTATAGAGGTATAAAGACAAGGAAGAGAAACTCTTGGCCACCATTTCTCTAGAAACTGACTTTCTAAAACACGATTATGTATCTCCTGTAAAAAAGGATGCAGATCAGGTACAAGTGGTCTCTGTCAACTTGTGGTTTGTTTTTTTTTTAAGCTAAATGGTACCAAATTTAAAATAATGCCATTGAACTAACCTGCAGGGCAGCAGCGTCTTGGTTATTATAATGATAGAGCAGTCCGAGTGCAAAATACCTGGAAGAGAACAACTGGGTAAGAACACTCTCTCCCACCACCTACCGTGGGCAACACCCATGGTGACATCCACTGGTTCAGGGCGCTGGGTGTGCCCATTCAACTGAAAACTCAACGACAAACTAGGGATCTTCATTTTTTGTTTATTTGTGTATGGTACTGATCACTGAAGCCCTGTCAATTCCCAAAAAGGATCATACTCAAGTCGAAGATGTGCTGAAAAATAAAACTATAATTATACTATGGAAAATTACATATGGAATTGCTTTATAATTTGCTTCAAACATCAGTATGGTTTCACTGCTGTTCAGCTAAAGTTATTAAGCTGTCATGAGGTATTAGAAGAATATTTGGAAGGTATGTCGTCTGAACTCTTACTGCAGGAAGGGGTAAGGGATGTGAACACGAACAGCAGCATTAACTGCCAGCACTACCCAGGTGTTATCACAGAGGGAGAGTCCTGGCAGTGGGGGACACCCAGGGTTCAAGGACCTGAGTTTAAAGTCAGGCTTCATTACCTATGAGACATATGACCTTGATCAAGTAGATTCATTCCCCAATCCTCAATTTCCTCATTTATAAATAGAAAAGATTAGCAGTCACATTGGCATTGCCTGGGCAGTGAGCCCTTATCATGCTTCCCAAGTTCTGCAGGTGTCCTGGTCTTCTTCCTCCCCAGCAGGGAACTAGAGTAAGCTAACACAGTGAGACGTTGGATTTTTCCCCTCAGAGAGCAAACTCTCCAATTCTTGAAGTGAACCCTTTTCTTTAACCTTTTAGAAAATAACAACGGCTCTCCAGGTCCCACCGTCCTCAGTCACTACCACAAGGCATCGGTGCATTTTCTGGCTCCTAAACAAAATAATTGTGTCTGTCAGTTTGTCATACTGTGGGGGTTTGTGTGTTGCTGTGATGCTGGAAACTATGCCACTGGTATTCAGGTACCAGTAGGGTCACCCATGGCATACAGGTTTCAGCTGAGCTTCCAGACTAAGACAGACTAGGAAGAAGGACCCGGCAGTCTACATCTGAAAAGAATTAGCCAGTGAAAAACTTATGAATAGTAGTGGAACACTATCTGATATAGTGCCAAAAGATGAGCCCCTCAGGTTGGGAGTCACTCAAAAGACCACTGGGGAAGAGCTGCCTCCTCAAGGTAGAGTTGACCTTAAAGACGTGGATGGAGTCAAGTTTTTGGGACCTTCATTTGCTGATATGGCACGACTCAAAATGAGAAGAAACAGCTGCAAACATCCATTAATAATCAGAACCTGGAATGTACAAAGTATAAATCTAGGAAAATTGGAAATTGTCAAAAATGAAATGGAATGCATAAAGATCGATATCCTAGACATTAGTGAGATGAAACTGACTGGTATTGGTCATTTTGAATCAGACAATCAGATGGTCTACTACGCTGGGAATGACAACTTGAACAGGAAGGGCATTGCATTCATCATCAAAAAGAACATTTCAAGATCTATCCTGAAGTAAGATGCCGTCAGTGACAGGATAATATCCATACACCTACAAGGAAGACCAGTTAATATGACTATTATTCAACTTTACCCACCAACCACTAAGGCCAAAGATGAAGAAATTAAAGATTTTTACCAACTTCTACAGTCTGAAATTGATCAAGCATGCAATCAGGATGCACTGATAATTACTGGTGATTGGAATGCGGAAGTTGGAAACAAAGAAGGATTGATAACTGGAAAATATGGCCTTGATGACAGAAATGATGCCAGAGATGGCATGACTGAATTTTGCAGGACCAACGACTTCTTCATCACAAATACCTTTTCTCACCAACATGAATGGCGACTATACACATGGACCTTGCCAGACGGAATACACGGGAATCAAACTGACAACATGTGTGGAAAGAGACGATGGAAAAGCTCAGTATCATCAGTCAGAACAAGGCCAGGGGCTGACTGCGGATCAGACCATTAATTACTCGTATGCAAGTTCAAGCTGAAACTGAAGAAAATTAGAACATGTCCATGAGAGCCAAACTACAACCTTGAGTATATCCCACCTGAATTTAGAGACCATCTCGAGAACAGATTTGACACATTGAACACCAATGACCAAAGACCAGATGAGCTGTGGAAGGACATCATACATGAAGCAAGCAAGAGGTCATTAAAAAGACAGGAGAGAAAGAAAAGACCTAAATGGATGTCAGAAGAGACTCTGAAACTTGTTCTTGAACGTAGAGTAGCTAAAGCAAAAGGAAAAAATGTTGAAGTAAAAGAGCTAAACAGAAGATTTCAAAGGGCGGCTCGAGAAGACAAAGTAAAGTATTATGATGACACGTGCAAAGACCTGAAGATAGAAAAACAAAAGGGAAGAACAAGCTCAGCATTTCCCAAGCTGAAAGAACTGAAGAGAAAATTCAACTCTTAAGTTGCAATACTGAAGGATTCTACAGGGAAAATATTAAATGATGCAGGAAGAATCAAAAGAAAATGGAAGGAATACAAAGAGTCACTATACCAAAAACAATTGGTTGACATTTAACCATTTCAGGAGGTAGCATATGATCAGGAACCCATGGTACTGAAGGAAGAAGTCCAAGCTGCATTGAACTCACTGGCAAAAAACAAGGCTCCGGGAATTGACAGAATACCAATTGAGATGTTTCAACAAAGGGACGCAGCACTTGTCTATGCCAAGAAATTTGGAAGACAGCTACCTGGCCAGCTGACTGGAAGAGAACCATATTTACGCCTATTCCCAAGAAAGGTGATCCAACCAAATGCAGAAATTATCGAACAGTATCATTAATATCACATGCAAGCAAAATTTTGCTGAAAATCATTCAAAAGCGGTTGCAGCAGTATATCGACAGGGAACTGCCAGAAATTCAAGCCAGATTTAGAAGAGGACGCGGAACCAAGGACATCATTGCTGGTGTCAGATGGATCCTGGCTGAAAGCAGAGAATACCAGAAAGATGTTTACCTGTGTTTTACTGACTATGCTAAGGCATTCAACTGTGTGGATCATAACAAATTATGGATAACATTGTGGAAAATGAGAATTCCGGAACATTTAATCGTGCTCATGAGGAATCCATACATGGATCAAGAGGCAGTCGTTCGAACAGAACAAGGGGATACTGAATAGTTTAAAGTCAGGAAATGGTGTGCATCAGGGTTGTATCCTTTCACCATACCTACTCGATCTGTCTGCTGAGCAAATAATCTGAGAAGCTGGACTATATGAAGAAGAACAGGGCATCAGGATTGGAGGAAGACTCATTAACAACCTGCGTTATGCAGATGACACAACCTTGCTTGCTAAAAGTGAAGAGGACTTGAAGCACTTACTGATGAAGATCAAACACCACAGCCGTTAGTATGGATTACACTTCAACATAAAGAAACCAAAAATCCTCACAACTGGACCAATAAGCAACATCATGATAAACTGAGAAAAGATTCAGGTTGTCAAGGATTTCATTTTACTTGGATCCATAATCAACATCCACGAAAGCAGTCAACAAATCAAAAGACGCATTGCACTGGGCAAATCCGCTGCAAGAGATCTCTTTAAAGTGTTAAAAAGCAAAGATATCACCTTGAAGACTAAGATGTGCCTGACCCAAGCCGGTGTTTTCAATCACCTCATAGGTATGAGAAAGCTGGACGATGAATAAGAAGAATGATTGAGAAGAATCATTCAATAATAATAATAAGATGAATAAGAATGAAGAATTGATGCCTTTGAATTGTGGTGTTGGTGAAGAATACTGAATATACAATGAACTGCCCAAAGAACAAACAAATCTATCTCGGAAGAAGTACAACTAGAATGCTCCCTGGAAGCAAGGATGACGAGACTTCGTCTCACATACTTTGGACATGTTGTCAGGAGGGATCAGTCCCCAGAGAAGGACATCATGCTTGGTAAATACAGGGTCATTGAAAAAGAGGAAGACCCTCAATGAGATGGACCGACACAGTGGCTGCAACAATGGGCTCAAGCATAGCAACAATTTTGGGGATGGCTCAGGACCGGGCAGTGTTTCATTCTGTTGTGCACGGGGTCACTATGAGCTGGAACTGACTCGACAGCACCTAACAACAACAACAACAAACAAATGCCCCTGTGTGGTGCAAAAAGTTAAGCGCTTAACCTCCTAACCAAAAAGATGGGAGTTCGAACCCACCCAGAAGCACCTCAGAAGAAAGGCCTAACCATCTGCTTTTGAAAGGACACAGCCTTGAAAACCCCATACAGCACAGTTCTACCCTGCACACGTGGGGTCACCATGAGTCAGAATTGACTTGACGGTGTCTGGTTTTTAAACAAAATAACATCATCCTATACTATGTACAAGTACCTGACAGGAACTGCTCAAAGGGCTGACACCCACGTGGAGGCCAATCACGAGCCCGTGCTGTGTCCAGGTATCTGAGCGGGATCTGGCATAGAAACCCCATGGTCTCCATATTCCATCAGTATTTTTGTCATTTAAAATCCGTTACAAAAATCACAAGCAAAAAATCTTACTGCTTAAAGGGAATTCAGGAATCACCCAAACCCCTCATTTTTAAAGATTAAAAAACTGAGGCCTAGGCAGGTTAGACGACTTGATTGTTTGCCCAGGTAAGGAAGCTGCCCAGCCCTAATCAGCTCAGCCAATAGGTATTAACTGCCCATTGTACACAAAGCAATGGGTTAAAAAAAAAAAAAAACCCATTGCTGTCGAGTCAACTCCGACTCACAGAGACCCTACAGGACAGAGAAGAAGTGCCCCACAGGGTTTCCAAGGCTGTAATCTTCACAGAAGCAGACTGCCACATCTTTCCCCCACGGAGCAGCTGGTGGGTTCAAACTGCTGACCTCTCAGTTAGCAGCCAAGTACTAAGTCACTGTGCCACCAGGGCTCCTTAGCAGTGGGTTGGGCATCTACTAACTCATATATATAATGAAGGAATCACTTTAAACCATAATCTTTTATTCAACAAAACCAGAAGCCTCTCTTTTTACCTATTTGCCTTCATTTTGGTTATCAATCACTAAAGTGTACTATTTATTTTACTAAAATACGTGTGGTTTCCTTCATAAGTGAATCCTAGACTGACTAAGGAGGAAACCTAAGAATCATTTCATCTGCTCTAGTTTTACGCAAATAACGTGTGCCTTCTGCGTTTGTTTGCCGGCCCTCCCCCATGAGGTATTTTTCTAAGTGCGCTATGCTAACTTTTTCACAGCAACATGTGGAAGAGGGTTGCCATGGCAGTGCTTGTGTGGCTGCCTCACGCTGGGGGGGCGCAGCTGGCAAGCGAATAAAGATGGTGTATGCGTAAAAATACAGTACCAACAAAGCATATTACTAGTTCCAAACTGTCTTAGGTATCATTAAAGAACTGGTATTCGAGTGAGCTGACGCTCTCCAAGACTCTTCCAGTTAGTCTGCTGACCATTTTCTGGAGAGCACGCTGCTCCTGTTGTTATTATGATTTCATGGCAGCAACCTGATGAATATCTTGGGAATGCAAATATGACGCTGGCTACGTACGCTTCAGGAAGTTTACGGTGGTCTTCCTAGCAAAGGGCAATGAGTGGAGAAGTGCAATCATGAAGACCCTGATGGCAACAGGGAAGAGAACACTCACTTTTTGTGCTTCTCCAGCCAGACAGCGCTGTCTGTTAGAAGACAGAAGTTCTCGGTGACCAGGAGGTCCAGCAGACTGTTGTGGTCAGCCTCGGCGTACAGCTTGAGCAAGGCTGTGTCGATGTCTTCTTTGTAGCCGTTTGCCACCTCTGTGCTGCGGACTTCATTCAAGTAGCTCATGAGGAAGCGTTTACACTTGGCCATCTTCTCCTGGTCGCCTTGGGTCAGCTGGTTCAGGTCTGCATACTCATGGAGAGGGGGGTGAGACCGTGTGAATGAAGAGGAGGTAGGCAACAGGAAGGGGTAGAGAGAGATCAGCTCCCGGACATCAAGCTGGCCGCTTCTGCAATTACAGTGGCAAACTAAATGAAGCAAAAAGAGAGAGAGAGTACACATAGGCACACAAGACACCACCGGAGGGCTGTGCGCGTGTGCACACAGCAATGGCGAGCTGGGTATCTGGGCAAGCACATCAAAGCGACCATCCTAATTCGCCAGTGCAAGAAAGCGCTATTAACCACATGCCACCACCCGATCGCCAAACGGAGTAGAGGAGACTGCGGTGAGAGACATGCATACAACAAGGCTGTTGAGGTGGAGTTATCAAAACACTCATATGATCTGAACATCGAATTCAGCCCTGGACTCCCGGGAAACCATGGCAAAAAAAAGGGACATGAAAGATAATCCGACATCACTGTCAGATAAAAGCCGGCGTCACAGTTCTGAAACCAATGTTCTTCCTGGCACTAAATTACAGATTTGTTGAACTGTCCATAAATAAGGGACTTTAAAAAAACATAACTCATAATTTCCTCATCAATGATCTTTCAAAGCATTCATTTGGCCATTTTCCTAATGATTCTCAATAGAATCTCAGAGCATAACATTAGAAAGCAACTCAGATGAGCAGCGTTAAGTGTCCTAACCCCATAAGCTATCTAGTGACATTTCCATCTCAAATTCACTGTTGTTCCCTTTCTCCCTCCCCGCTCCAGCCTGCTCTTCCTGTCTACAATGATAACACTTAATGGCATTACCTAGCTGTGGATCTCAACCCTGGCCAAGTATCAGACCCAACCAGGGGGACTTGTTGAGGTAACAGATATAGCCCCCACCTCACATTCTGAATGGGAGTCTCTAGGGTTTGGGCCTGAAGTCTACACTTCCTGCAACATTCACTGCACCTGCCTTAGTTCAAGCTGATCCTCTCTCGTCCACTCCACCGCAGGCGCCTCCTCGGTGGCTTCCTGCCTCTAGTCTCCCTTCCTTCTACTCCACTCTTTAGATCCTCACTCTCTACTGCCCTTCGGTGGTTCTGTACTACCCACAGGATAAATTTCAAACCCCTTAACATGACATTCGAGGCCCTTCCTAATCTGATCCCAAACGACCTTACAATTTCAGCTCCAACCATCCCCTTCCATGTTTCCAACACACCAACTATACCTAATTACTCTGCCAACCGATACGTTTCATGCCTCTTAGCCTTTGCTATTGCTGTTCCCTTTGCCTAAATCAGCGGTTCTCAATGGGGAACAGTTTTGCTCCCTGGGGGACATTTGGTAATACCTGGAAACATTTTTGATTGTCATGACTGAGGGGTGCTACTGGCACCTATGGGTAGAGACAGGGACACTCTAAACATCCTACAGTGCATGACACAACTCCCACAGCAAAGGTCATCTGGCCCAGAACATACACAGTGTGCAGCTGAGAACCCCAGCCAACAGTATGACCCTCTATTGAGGAAACTTCTGCTCATCATTTAAGAGATAATGAGCCCTGTGAGGAAGACCCCTCCACTAGCTAATCTAAGCCCATGCTCTACAATGCTCCCACAGGGCCCACTCAGACCGTAGACAAGCACTGATGCTGTACAATTGTTACATCTTTCCTAAACTAGCATCTGCACATCGTAAAAGCAGGGGCACTGTCTTACCCTTACATCCTTAGCACTGATGCTTAGGCAAACTGCTAAGTGAAGGAAGTGCTGAACCGAGCTGGATATAAGGGCAGGCTATACCATCTAGAAGAGTACACACACGGCATTACGTCCCTGGGACATGGATGCAAACAGGTTTCATCTTAGGTACAACCATGACTGGTTAAAAGCTGTGGCCTATAGCACTGTGTTGAGAAGGATTCTGAGGAAGAGTGAACAATGAGAAAAGACATCATGATGTATTAGCAATGTCTGTGATGGGCATAAGAAGGAGAAGTTGAATCATCCTTGTCTTAGGATAAGGAGCCCTGGTGGCACAGTGGTTAAGCGCTCCGCTGCTAACTAAAAGGTCAGCAGTTTGAACCCAACAGCCACTCCATGGGAGAAAGATGTGGCAGTCTGCTTCCATAAAGATTTACAGCCTTGGAAACTCTATGGGGCAGTTCTCCTCTGTCCTACAGGGTCGCTATGAGTCAGAATCGACTCGACGGCAGTGGGTTTGGCTTTGGTTTGACTTAGGATTTTCTTCTTTGAATATTAATTTCCTCAGTCACACTTCTGACAAAAGCTGAACAGCAGTCAATTTAAAGGTAAGCTATTAAGAGGCTGATGTACTCAAGCAGAATAACCTTGTATTAATAACTGACAGGTCCTACTTCTACTCTCTTGCCAAAGCAGTGGAATTTTCCAGGAATGCCGTCTATGGCCATTTACCTCTTGCTTCTAATTAACCCATGAGAAAAAGAAATGTATTGGGATTCACCATCACCCAAGTGAGGAGGTCTTCAACACTGCAGGGATAAAGCAAAGTCTTACAGAAAAACAACTTAGGTTCAAAGGGGTGAAAATCTATTTAAACCCAAAGTTACGGATCTTTCCAGGAACATTTAATAACAGCACATGGATTTTGCACTCGACAGCAATGGGTTTTAAAAGTTATACAGGGCATCATTACTCAATGAAGAGTTCCTTCTTTACTCAGAAGTCTGTGTACTTTACAAACAATTTTGTGAAAGAGCAAGATATCGGAGCTGCATGGATCTAAGCACATGCCTGGAATATAATGCAAACAACCTACATGAGGGAAGCGGGCGGCAAGCGACAGAAAGGTGTTCTGCTCGTGTTTTTACTTATCTGGAAATGATCTATTCTCAGGCTTCATACACATCTTTTTTAGATGGTTCTAAATAGTGCAGAATCTATTCTAGCAAGACATTTTGAAAACTTATTTTACTGGCAATGCTTTAGTAAGATATTTATAGACTATTCTAGCAGGTTTAACTTAATCTTCTCCAAGGAGTGATGAGTAAGCATGTATGCAGCTACTGCCTCGCTGGGCACACAAGCCCAAGAAGAAGGAGCAACAGGAAAAGCGGGGTATGACAGCAAAGGAGTGTGGGTGAAACAAGTGCGGGCTTCTCATTTCTACAGCTCCCCTTCCCAGAAGAGATGGGGAGGGAGCGGGGAGAGAAAGAGAGAGAAAGAACGCAACAGATGCAGGGTTAATTAACATGTCAGTAGGGACCTCCACAAGAGAAAGTCAATTTCCTAAGACAGCCAACCTGGCATAGACCAGTGAAAAGGCATTTTAAAGGAGAAGAAAACTTTTCATAGGTGTCCCAAGAAGACCCTGCTCTTTTTCTAAACTCAACCAACCCCATCCGTTGCCGTCGAGTCAATTCCAACTCATAGTGACCCTACAGGACAGAGTAGAACTGCCCCAAACGGTTTCCAAGGGGCGCCTGGTAGATTTGAACTGCCAAACTTTTGGTTTGCAGCCGAACACTTAACCACTGTGCCAGCAGGGCTACTTTCTAAACTGAGATCTTGTTAAATGTTCAGGGAAAAGCAAGAGTGAACAAACAGTATTTTCCTAGGAATCTGCCATGTGTTATTAAGTTGACTTTTCAGAATTCTTCAGAATTCTCTTCTCCTGGCTCAGCAATCTTGACGCCCTTAACCTCTCTTCACAGAACTCTTGCATATGGCCGTCAACAGCCTCCCACACCTTTTAAAATACAGAATGTTAAACTAAGACCACGGGTAAGGGGGGAAAAGTCGAGTGACTAGCATTACTGGCATTTGTTATTTATAAACAACACTATTTCTATCTACAACACAGAAACATTAATTCCACTACAGCTTCTCACTTGAAATGGAGGTTTGGGCCACAGAGGGTACATCGTATACATGGGTAAAGTAGGGACGCTGTAATGACAGTCTTGCCACCAACACCTCAAATTACCTGAAGAGCTCTTTAGCTTCCGGGAACTGAAGTTGTGCGAACTGTATAAACCCCGCCTGCTGCAGAATCCTTCTGTACATTACCTGCAAAGAGAGACAGGTTTAATTTCCTAGAGACCTTAAAACCACCACAGAAGGGAAAAACTAAATTTTTAATTCATATCCCAAGCTAAACATTATTACATAGAAATTTGAAGTTACAAGTTAAAGCAAGAAAAATACAAGGCATACATAAAATTATTTATATATGTTTATAAATAAGCCGAACCAAACCCGTTGCTGTCAAGTCAACTCCAACTCATAGCAACCCTATAGGATAGAGTAGCGCTTCCCCAAAGGGTTTCCAAGGAGTGGCTGGTGGATTCAAACTGCCAATTTTTTGGTTAGCAGCTGAGCTCTTAACCACTGCGCCACCAAGGCTCCACTTCTGACGTAAAGACCAGCCTAATTATAACCAGAAAACCAGATCCAATCAAGTCGATGCTGACTCATGTCGGCCCCGAGTATGTCAGAGGAGGCCTAATGATATCACCTAACGATAAGGAGAGAGTAGTGGGCCAAAGTCCTATTGCCCAAGGATGCCAGCTCCATTTCTAAAAGTAGAAATAATAAAGGCCATCCACTTAGCGAAAAAAGTTAAAAAGGACCCACCAGTTACGGTGGAAGAATTCTCACTAAAACCCATGGTTGTTGAAGAAAAATCAACCAAACGACAATTTATTCCTCATGGTTGCAGGATTCAAATGTCACCTACTTATCCCCCCTCCTTGAAGGTAAATAAAAATTACTTTTGCTAACACTCCAAATCTCCAAAAATGTAGAGCTTATCTTCCATACTCTAGTCTGGAAATGCTATATAGACTCCGAAGAAGCACAGAAGTAGATTCTCTCATCCTGCATATGCATATGACTACCACAGATGCTGTAACCATAGGTGACAGAGAGAACCCAAGCTGACTGACTTTTACCTAAAAATGGCCAATGAGAGACTTTACCAAGCAGAACCAATCTTGATTCTCTGAAGGTGACTGTTTACTTTCTATGCTGTCTACTAGGACCTGACACACCTTCTCCTGCTCTCTGCTCAGCTGATCCAGAACAACAACAAAACCTTGAGCCCGGTAGGCTGACAGGAAAGGACACAAGAAGGATGACTAGATGGGGAGGACAGAGAACAAGAAAGCCTGTCCATCTTCCCAACATGAGAGCTAACTCAAACATGGAACTTTCAACTTTCTTTTCTCAGTACCAGTTACTACTTCAACGTAAGGCAGCTCTCGCAGTAGATCTCTAAACTGTCGTTGTTAGTTGTCGTCAAGTCAGTCCCGATTCATGGCGACCCCACGTACAACATAATGAAATAATGCCTGGTCCTGACTAATCCTCACGATCGTTGGTACATTTGAGTCTATTGTTGCAACCACTGTGTAATGCCTCCTAACCTAACGGGCTCATCTTCCAGCACCATACTGGACAATATTCTGTAGACCTCCAAGAAGTGATGCTCAAGATCGAATCTTGATGTGGCTGTACAAGGGCTGGGGGCCCAACACCTTAAGCCAGTCTTGAGACATCACATGTATCCTGAGAGCAAGTTGAAACTAAAGTCAAAACATCTATCGTTAGTATTTTATTTCTGGATTGAGATATATAATTTTTGTGATCTGAGGAACTGAGAGTTTTGTAAAACAGAAGAGTCTAAAGATTTCTAAACCTGCTTTCAAGGCTACATTGTCTAAGTAAAATAAATATATCACACAAGAGCTTCTGGAAAGAGCAGTTCATCCTAACACTAAATTCAAAGTATAGCTTGTTTTACGGCTCTTCCTCGCTGTATACTGCCTAATGAAATATAAAGCTTTTCCAGTTAGATTTTCTTTCCTTTATTAAGCCTTGATAGTAGCCAAAGGCTTTTTATTTCTGCAGGAGCTGAGCAGGTTTAGACTGTGGTTAAAACTCTGGAGTCAGAATGCTTGGATCTGAGTCCTGGCTCTGCCAGTTATTAGCTGTGTGGCCTTGGACTCCCTCTGTGCTTGTAACTGCACATTTTTAAGGGGATCGTAACAGCGCCTACCTCACAGAGCTGCTGTGAGAATTAAGAGAATTAAATCACTACGGGCTCTATGACAGTATCTGGCACACAGTAAGCATGCGGTGATTGCTGGCTCGCTCTTTAGGCTGAGCTTGTAAGCTTGCACTTCTAACTAATGCCAGTATTTAACTGTGCCCAACTCCCTTCAAGTCTTTTTGCTTGATTCTGTTACATCTATGTGTGGGTGGAGGGGGAGTATGAAACCCTTTTTCTAACGAAAGAAAAGGAGTTAACCCTTTCGTGACCCAATTATTTTTTCCTTTTAATTTTTTGTTGATACTGTGTGTTTTCAGTAAGGGAGGGCACACTGAATGATTGAGTCTGAATTTTTGGTAGATAATATGGTTTTTGTTTTATGCCTCATTCCACAAACTGTACCCTTGGAGTCCAGAGGTATGTCTGTGTACTCCCTGTGAACACCAATTCTACTCCCAGAGTCCAGAGGTACACAAGTGTACCAAATAAAAAAATTCTCAAAATGCATGTTTTTCTTACCAAAAATTCAATGATTCGGCACCACCTCATACAACACCCTGTAAAAACAGTTAATTTGCAGCACATGCCCATTTTTCCCCATTTTAAACGGTCATATAGGGCCCTGCCTGCCGGCAGCATGGACTGTCAGTGGGACAGTAGCTCCCCCATAAACACCGGTGGTACAAAAAGTAAGTGGTAGTTATAGACACTGCTGGTCCTGAAAGGGTTAAAGTAAATTAGTAAACGTATTTAAAAACTTTTCTACCTCTAGTAAAAACCAGTGGTAGCCACTTTTTTAAAGGGTAGCTGACAGCCACACGATGGCAGCACAGATGCCAAAGTAAGTGATGGCAACCTTCACTGCAGACGGGAGCGTGGCAGTTCCTAGAAGGCTGGGTCTCAGGTGGCTTACCTACCACGGCTCAGAGGCCGAACTTAACACAAAATAAGTCACGTGTCTGGGCTAGGATAAGGCACAGAAATAGGGGTACTTACCCTAACTAAGGAAAACACTATTTAAAGTATGTCAGGATCCGGTAGGTCAAATTTGGACTCAGACTAGAAGGTTTTTCACAGCTTTAACAGGAGTATATGAAAGAGGATGACGATCACAACCAGCGGAACCTCCGAAATACCACCTACACCCTGGAGGTCGGGAAAGGATGAACAGATACACTGGAAGGATCTGCAATCACACGGCCAGAGCAGAGGACGGTACCAGCACGGCCACCTGTTCTCCCTTCTCTCCAGGGCTCTCTGTGGGTTGGGCTTTTAACCAAGGGGACAGGGTGGGAGATGGGAGGTTGTAGGGAAATGGGTGTGGCAGGTCACCCCATTAGGGTATTAGGAAACAACTGAGATATTAGATTATAAAGTCGGTATGAAACCTAGAAGTTTTTCAATTTACAAAGAAATTCTAAGAGTAGAAAAGCCTACTTCTAGGGTTAGACGTGGATCCCAAGTAAGAACAAATGCCCCCACTCCAAGCTCAAGGGTTCAACACTCTGGCTTTACTGCTGGGTTTATTTCAGGACAGTAGGGCTGGTGGGTACATCCCCCTTCTTACTATGACTGACTGCTGACCTGCAGAAGGCAGGTCACCAAACACAGGCTGTAAAAACCAGAGAAAATGCAACAAGGACAACCTCCCATGCTACGGGACTAAGAGCTAAGATTCATGCTACAGTACCTTGTAATACCAAGAAAGATTTAGCATACATCTGAGCAGCATTCTTGTAAAACCAAGTACAGCCAATGCTCTAAACAAAAATTGGTATGAACGTTGTATTTTTAACTATATTTGTACCTTCGCCTCTAATATACATCTGAATGACGGGTTGCTTTATTTATTTGAAAAACTCTCTTAGTTACTGCCTAAATAGAAACCAAGGCTTTGAACCAGTTGGTTCGGGTTCAAAACCACTGCTGAGAATTTGCATCTCCCTCCCAGATATACTGAATCAGAATCTACAGTTTAACAAGATCACCAGGTGATTCTTATGTATAATACATTTTGAGAACCACTGCTCTACTAGTGGTTCCCAGAACTGGTCCCTAACCAGCATCATTAACATCCTCTTGGAACTTGTTAGAAATGCAAATTCTTGGCAAGGGTTCAAACTGAACCTGAACGAACTGGTTGAAGCCCTGACAGAAACACATTTCTCAAAGTACATTAGGAGCACTAGCCTCATGAGATTCTCCTTGTTAAAAAAGGCAATTCATCATGACTGAATAAGTTTGCAAACTGGTATGAGTGTATACATGCTAATATATAAAATATGATATATAAATAAAATAAAAATGTATGTACATGCTGCATATGTAATATACAAATATAAAAAAATACTGTATTTTATATATAGCCTCTCTTGGGTATTCACAGAAAAATAATAAAAAACACTAGCATAAGCCCTCCTGGGAAATCACAATAAATATTAACATATTAACCAAAAAGCAACCAAACTTGCTGCCATCGAGTCGATTCTGCCTCATAGCTAACCTACAGGGCAGAGTACAACCGCCCTGCAGGGTTTCCAAAGAGAAGCTGGTGGATTCGAACTGCCGACCTTTTGGTTAGCAGCTGTAGCTAACCACTGCACCACTAGGGCTCCAAGGCTCTGAGAAATCCTTCATTGAGAAACCCAATTAATTTGAACCTTCCAAAGCAGAACGTTTTTCGCACCCTACAACTTCTGACATCCATGAACGAGTGTTCCATAAAATACACAAGGAAGTCATGCTAAACAGAACAAGCAGTCAATTCCCAAAGTGAGAACAGTGGGGCACAGCAGGAGTTGGGGTGGGGGCCAGAAAAGAGGGAGTACACATAATAAAATTAACAAAAACATTAACTCTTAGGAAAGATAACACAAGACAACAGGTACATCGGTTGCTTTCAGAGAGAAAAAATGATGTTCTGAGAGGGAAAAGAAGCCGTGCTGTTCAAATTTTTTTAAACACATGCATTGTTTCTTCTGTACTTTTTAAAATTTTAAAATAGGTAATGTATTCACATGGCTCAAAATCTGAAACAGCCAAAAGGGATAAAGTGCAGAGTGTCCCTCTCACTCCTGTAGCCAGTCAGCAGTTCTCCTCCAGGAGTAACCAATCTTCCAGAGGTATTTTAGCATTTAAATTCTTTTCTCTCCATTTTAATAGTGGAAGCATACTATGTGCAGCCCTGGCGGCACAGTGGTTAAGAGCTCGGCTGCTCACTAAAACGTCGGAAGTTCGAATCTACCAGTCGCTCCTTGGAAGCACTATGGGGCAGTTCTCTCTGTCCTATATGGTCACTATGAAGATCCCTAGATGGCGTAAACAGTTTGCACTGGAATACGTACCTAAAGGTTGGTGGTTGGAACCCACCCAGCAGCACCGTGGAAGAAAGACCTGGCAATCTGCTTCCACCAAGAAAACTCTATGGAGTAGCTCTACTCTGTAACAGGTTGGGTCACCATTAGTCGGAATTGACTCAGTGGTTACAGATTTGGTTTTGTTAGCATACTATGGATCCCTGGTGGTGAAAATGGTTAAGACACTCAGCTGCTAACCGAAAGGTTGGAAGTTGGAGTCCACCCAGAGGCATCTCAGAAGAAAGGCCTGATGATCTAGTTCCAAAAAATCAGCCACTGAAAATGGTGGAGCACAGTTCTACTCTGACATACATGGCGTCACCAGGAGTCGGAATTGACTTGACAGCAACTGGTACTGGTCCTGGCATACTATAATCCTATTCTGCGCTTCTTCTGTTGCTTTAACTTAGTCTGTGTTAGAGATCATCCCATTCCAGGACATAAAGCCCTTAACTCTTTTTCCTGGTTGTATAGCATTCCAACACATCGCTGGACCACGATGTACTTAACCCTGCCTGACTGCTGGCAGCTAGCTTGGCTTTCTTTTTTTTTTTTTACACCATTGCCATGAAGAGTTCTACATTTTAATTATTTTACATTTTTGTGATTACATCTGTAAAACAAATTTCTAGAAGTGGAATTGTAATATAATTGTGATAGATATTCTCAAATTGCCTTCCCACAGAGGCTGTATCAATGTATATTCTTATAAGTGATGTATGAGACTGTCTACTTCCCTGTACCAATATACAGTATTACCAAACATTCTCATCTTTGACAATCTAATAAGTAAACAAATGTATTTTTAATTTATGTCTCTTTACATGAGTGAGACAAAGCACCTTTTCATATTTATGGGACATTTGTATTTCATTTTCTATAAAGTATCTGTTCATGTTAATTTTTCTATAGGGTTGCTGATTCAGTCTTAACGATTGGAAGCAGCTCTTCATGTATTAGCGAAATTAGCCCTTTTTCTGTGCCATAAGCTGCAAATATTTTTCCCAGTATGCTCTTTATCTTTAGAATTTGTTGATAATGGATTTTGCCACGTGGAATGTGCACGAGTGTGATGTGCATAAACATGCGTGTGTGTGTATGAATTTCTTTTTTCTTTTATGGCTTCTGGGTCTTCAAATAAATAGATAAACCCGTGCATGTGTGAACTGGAACCCTAACAGCAATACTTTCTGACTTACCCTCGCACTTGTAATTATAAAACTAAATTAAATTTTACCTGACAGACATGTGGAGGCAACAACAAAAAAACAAAAGTAAAATGAAATAATGAACCTAACTACATATCCAATTGGTGGCATAACCGCACAGAGAAGAAAGATCTCAAGTGACTTTAAAACAGAGCAACTTGACTGCTGGGATCTTCCCAAAGGAAAATGCAAAGACAAAAACATTTATAGAACAATTGGTGATATGTGAACATTGACTAGATATTCAACCATATGGAGAAATTATTATTGGCTTGAGGGTGGTATTATAATGGTAAGGAGCTCTGGTTGCACAGTGATTAGGCACTCGGCTGATAACCAGAAGGTCAGAGACGGGAACCCACCAGCTGCTCAGCAGGAGAAAAAACTTAGCAATCTGCTCCAGTAAAGATTTAAAGCCTAGGACACCCTGGGGGGCAGTTCTACTCTGTCCTATAGGGTCTCTATGAGTCGGAATCAACCCAATGGCACGCAACAACACCATCACAATACAGGGTCTGTGCATCTGTTTCATAGGGATGGGCGAAGGGGAGTGGTACAGACAGTGCTAGAAAATGCGTTAGGCCAGACTTTCTCCTTAGGCAGTGGCGTACTGTGGGGTTTAGAATTTAACCTTACCCAAAGAATTTGGTCTTTGCCCTCAGTTCCCGAGAGATGATTTCTAAAAAACCCTGGAACATATGTGTCTTTGAAAAGGGCTCCAAACCACTCCTAACAGGTTAAGCTGGTGAGGTGATGAGGTGACTCTGGGGTGGGGGCTGGCCAGTCCAGAAAGACACACCTCGTGACAGCTTGTGATCCTCATAACATGGACTGACCTCAGGGCAGAGGGGCTGGAGTTTGAGACCCTCAATCAAAGCTCAGGCTACGGAAGCTCCATGGGCTTCCTGGTTGGTGAAAACATCTGCTCTCAGGAGGGTGACATGATCTCTCTGGTACAGGGAAGCTCTGTGTTGGGAACCCTCTCAGACCTCACCCTATGCATCTCTTCTCTATGCTGATCCTGATTTCTATTCCTTATAATAAAGCTGCAATCGTAAGCATAGTGCTTCCTGAGTTCTGAGTCCTTCCAGCAAATTATCAAACCTGAGAAAACAGTAGGAGCCAGCAGGTCAAAAGGAAGGGGCCTGGGGATCCCTGAGCAGGAGGCAGGCATCCTGAGGGGGTTGGGAAAAAAAAAACAAAAAACTTTTAGCCAGCAGATCAGAAGTAAGGGCAGCTCCTGGGGGCCCCCAAACTTGTGGCTGGTGTCTGCCTATTGGGCAGTCTGAATGACAGTGTCGTTTTAACTTGTAACATCTGACTAGCTCCAGGTGGCTGGGGTCAGAGAAAGAAGGTCTAAAGGACGTTGTTTTCACTTGTGAGAGCTGAGATCTGACGAGCTGCGGGTGGCTGGGGTCAGAGAAAACCGTGCCACACAGGCGGCAGGTGTCAGAGAAGGGACAAAGTGGGGATTTTGATTTGATGCTTATTATTAACCTCATAGGAACCCACTGAAGTATTTTAAGCAAGAAAATAAATTTCCGTTTTATTGAAAAGATCACTCCATTAGTGGCATGGAGAATGGACTGCAGACACACACAAAGGAGACTGTTACAATAATTCAGGAACACTAGGAGGAACCATGGGAACTGAGAATAAAGGCTGAATTCAAGATAACTCTAAGGGCATATTTCTAGGGCTGCACGTACGAGTTTGGAGCACTAGAGAGAAGGCAGGGAACAAGTCAGAAAGGAGAAAAATACTAACTCAGATATAAATCACTGATACCAGACTGGAGAACAAGATGACCACTAGTATTACCTAGTATTGACTGCACATCTCTATTCTTGGCAAAGAGAAAGAGAGAGAAAAAACAAAACCAAAGAAAACCGAAAGCCTCCTTAAGGAAATGTTCCATATTGAAAGTGTGTTCATACTTAAAGAATGCAAGGAGGGGCCGCGCCAACCATGACAACTATGAAGGCATAGTTTGTTCCTGGGGCATCAGGTACCATCACCTGAACGTCACTGGCGAGAAAGGGGGACGAGAGCAAGCCCGCAGACGCAGGACTCAGGCCCCAATCCCGCAGCCTTCTTATGCCAGCACAGTGTTAAGTAAAATAATGTACGTGTAAGTGCTCAGCACAGTAACAGGCCCTGCACAAATGGTAGCTTTCCTCTTTGCTTTTGCTGCCCCCTGCTGAACGCAATACATCAGTTTTACTTAAAACTGAGGAATGAAAAGTTGATCAATATTTTAATGTAGAAAAGCTGCCCTCTTTCACATCCCATAAACTGCACATCCTCTCTTCTTTTACTTTTAGACTCTACCCTTTGCTGCATAAAGCAACTGAGGCCAAAAAGCAGTATTTTATTCCACAACAAGTATCTAAACCCATCACTGTCGAGTCCATTCGGACTCATAGCGACCCTACAGGACAGAGGAGAACTGCCCCTGGGGTTTCCAAGGGGCAGCCGGTGGATTCGAACTGCCGACCTTTAGGTTAGCAGCCAAGCAGCCAAGCTCTTAACCACTGAGCCACCAGGGCTCCACAACAACAGGCATATACACATGTGTAAAATTCCACCAACTCCTAATAATCAAGGGAATCATTATTCATTCAAGAGAACTTTCAATTATAGATTTAGACACTTACATAAAGCACACAGACATCAATATTATGTTTTATTACTCCCACATATAAAGAGTAATCTGAAATAACCAAAAAACTGATCAGGTAACAATGTTTAGGAACCTGATTTCATCAGACAAAAGAATAACTTGTGACCATTATATCAATTATATTTCTCATACCAATTATATTTCAAGTTAGCGTTTCTTAAGTGTATTAAAAGTTCTCTCCTAAGCAAATTAATGAGATGGGTTCCTGCAGTATTAGATAGTTTACCAATACAGTTAGCGAAGCTTTTCCCGTAAATAATATAAGTCTAACTTTTATTCAAGCTCATCCCAAGAAATTCAAATTCTAAATTAGAAGACAAATTAACCTGGCCTCTCTCTTCTGGTTTACAAGAGCCACGTCCTTGATTCTTCTCTGAAGGTATACCGAAAAAGACAGCTGATGAGAAATGAAACCCAGTACACAAGGCACTAGCATCATGTCACAGGTTCACACCTGACTTCTCCACTTTTAGCTGTGTAACTTAGTCAAGCTGTCTGACTGCTCTGAGAACTGTTTCCTTACCTGTAAAACATGGAAAATACCGCTACCTCAGAGAAAACAACCCAACAGATACAAAAGCAATCAGCACAGCCTGGCACCTGGGGACGGCCAGGTACTTGCTAGCGAAATCTGAATTTTTCCAATGGATGGCTCGGAAGCCTGCCCATGTGACCAGTTCATCACAAACCTGAAATTTTTCTTTTGGAATGTTCCTCCGGACTCCTTTTGCTAAAACCAATGCCTCTTCCACTCTACGACTTGCCAGAAGGTCCTGGATTTGTTTTTCCAGAGGTAATGGAACCAAGATGTAAACGCCTTTACTGGTGGTGACAATCACTCTTCCTGTGAAGAAATTCAAAACTGTTGGAAAGGAAAAAAAAAATGCCTACAAGAAAACATATTGTTTCCCCCACACTGAGTAATTATCTGATCTGTTGATCAGTTTTATCACACACAGAATTCCTACAGAAATTATAACTTATAAGGCTTGCTTTCTTCCTCTTCCCATACTCTCGACTGTGAAAAAAGGGGCTAGCTCTTAATACTACATTTCCGAAGTATAAAATATGCTTTTTTGCCTTTTTTTCCCCAGAAAATGCTGGTAAACTTAAAATCAGACATGTATGTCCAACAAGGTTGCAGATGTCAATCATGGAAAATTAACAGTAAGAATTATGATATACCTCACATAAGATTTCTTTTTTAATTACTTTCCTTCCAAGTTAGTTTACATAAAACTAAGCTTAAATGCAATATTCTGAGCCATTCAATGATAATATTTCATACTCATCAACTATCCAAATACATCCAAGTCTTGGAGATGAAATTTATTCATTTCTCACAACCCTCTACGTTAAGCTGGTCCATGGCTATCACTGTTGTCTTCATTTTGCTCATGAGACCTTCCACAGATAGTCCATGGAAGAGTTGGAACTACAATCCAAGAACAGCTCCACTACTAAGCTTTTCAATCAAATCCTGCTCCCTTCTAGAGAAACTTTTTCAGCCAAGTATTACTTTTTCATGGAAGGCAATTTTTTAACTAAAATCCTTAAATAGCAAATACAGTGCATAAACCTAGATTATATCCTGGTCTGAAGGATAACTCAACTGCTAGTTAAGCCTTTCCCACTCTCTCCCATTCTTCTCTCCTCTGAACCCACTGTTTCCACTCTAGTCCCACTGCCTAGTTTAACCGAAGCTCGCATTTCTTCTTGCCTGGACAACCACCACATCTTCCTTCCTGGTCTTCCTGCTCTGGTCTCTTGTCTAGACAATTTGTCTTCTATATCACAACCAAAGTAATTTTTCTAATACTCAAATCAAGTTCTGTTCTTCCCCTGTGCTGCTGTCACCTCTTCCAGGAAGCCTCCCTTGTTCCTACCTAGGACAGGTTACATCACCCTCCTCTCTGCACCTGTACCCACAACACCCTGTGCTCAGCTCTACCACTTAATATACACAGCACCATGTACTATTATATATGTTATTATAATAAATGTTCCAGTGTCCCCAGCTGAAATCTGACCCACTTAATGGTAGGGAACATGTGTCTTAACTACAGTATCTAAAACAGTGCTTTACACAGGAAAGGTGATGCTTAACTAAAACCCTTAAATAGCAAAAGCAATACATAAATGTAGACTACATCCTGGTTTTAAAAAAATAGAGATAAAAGGCACTCTTAGGACAACTAGGGAAATCTGAATATGGGCAGAATACTAGATGATAGTAGAATTATTGTTAATATTCTTAGACGTGAAAATGGTATTGTGGTTATACAGGAAAATGCCCTTATTCTTAGCAGATATATGCAGAAGTATTTCATGATTACATGTCATGATGTCTTCAACTTATTTTCAAATGGTTCAGCAAAATGTTAATTGTTGAATCTAGGCAAATGGTATATGGTTTTTCTTCCCCCCAACTTTTCTTTACATTTGAAAATGTTCATAAAAAACTGAAGAGAAGTTGAGCTCTCAGCCAGCTTACTAACACATGCAGGATGACCGACCTGGTCTGCTCTCCAGCCTCATCTCGCTCACTCCGCCACAAACAAGTCTTGCGCTACAGCCACGCTTAACTGCTTGTGTGGCCTGAAGCCCAGGTTTCCCTCTTTGCATGCATTTTTCTCAATGCCTGAAGGTTCTTTCACGCCATATCTGCCTAGCTAACCCTAATTCATCCTTAAAGGTTTGGCTCAAATACCACCTCCTTCAGGAAGCTTCCTGATATCTCTAGGAGGTACTGCCTCCTCTGCTCTCCCCATGGGCCTTTTTCATCTCTCTACCAAGCTCTTCCACTGCTGTAGTTATGCGTTTAAATGCCTGTCTCCCCATTAACCTTGGAGCCACTGAAGCACAAGCAATGACTAGTCGTCTCTGTATCTTCCATACTTAGCATAATGCCCAGTTCCTGTTGTTGTTGTGAGCAGTCAAGTCAGTTCTGACTCATAGCGACCCTATGTGACAGAGGAGAATGGCCCCATGGGGGTTCCCAGGCTGTAATCTTTACTGGAGCAGATCATCAGGTCTTCTCTCCTGCGGAGCCACTGGTGGGTTCAAACCACCAACCTTTCGGTTAGCAGTCAAGTGCCTCGCCATTGTGCCATCACGGCTCTTTGCCCAGTTCCTAAAGGGCCCTGAATAATGTTTACTGAAGAAGTATTAGGTTGTACCACATGATACACTGGTTTTGAATCATTTTTGAATCCTGATTAGACGTGTTAGGGTAAGTGGCTATTAGGTTACACCATTCTGCATTACTCAGCTAGCTTTCATAATCATTTGACTTCATTTTCTAGGTGGTTCTTGTCTTGTAAGCACTGATTTTTGCCCTTCAATAATATGGTGACTCAGAAGAACTAGATGGTGCCTGACTACCACAGTGATTGTCGTGACAGGGAACACAACAGAGAGTCCCTGATGGAGCAGGAGAAAAGTGGAGTGCAGAATTCAAATTCTAGTAAAAAGACCAGACTTAATGGTTTGACTGAGACTGGAGGAACCCCGGAAGACATGGCCCCGGACTCTCTGTTAGCCCAAAACTAAAACCATTCCCAAGGCCAAC